TCAAAGTTGGAATCAAAGTCTGCGAAGTCGGATAGTTCCGAGGAGAGTTCGCGTTTGCGTTTCGTATCGGTGGTGGACGAAGGTGAATACCTGCGACGAGAATCGGTCTGCCGCAAACCGGACGCGTTCATTGGCTATGCCACGGAGCATTTAAAGGCGCTTTACCCTCTCGGGCTAAGTAGCTGGCCGTAGTCGTAAACATCTTCCTACCAGGCGGGCTTATACGAGCCGTTGATGGCAACGGGCAACATCAAATTTAATTTCCCATAAGTAAATCTTTCTGCACGGCCAGCGCTCCGTGACCGTCTCGGATAAAGATCCGTTCACACCGTCATGGGCGGTCGTCCACCTTCCTCGCGAAACTGCTCTTCTACCCGAGCAACCGAGCTCTCGCGGAAAGTGTTCGCCGTCACGCGAATACCAGCTACGCGCTTTTCATTAATCCGATCGATTCCGATTTCTTTTCTGTTGCACACACGTTGCCACGTTGCGTAGAGCATTGCATTATGGACCGTATAGTATTCCGTTTTACGAGAGACGCTTCGTTCTAGCGATCTGAAATCGTTGCCGACTTTATCCTTCCCTCTCTTCTTTATATCTTTCGCGATTCCGGCTGGTAATATTAATTTGCTCGCGGGCTACTGTAACTCGTAAATACGTGAATGTTTGTATGTAGCGTACACTCTCGTACAAGAATTTGGAGCACGTTGAGATATTATTATTTTCTTTTTATTACTAATTATATTTAAAGACCGAGGTTATAATTGAGTTCATACTATCGTAAGTAAACAGGCTCTGTGCATTTGATTGAAAATTTAAATGTGGATTCGTTTTAAGTAAAAGCGATGTTTGAGTTCGTATTTGAATTCGAAATACTTTCGAATCGTAAGTAATTTCGAATCGCATCTTTTATTTTGCAGTTTAGCGTGAAAGTGCTTCCCGGGGCGTTCGCGTTGCGTGTCACTACTAATTGTAGAGCACGAAATTTTTGCTGGTTTTGAAACAAATCGATTCAAAATATATATTCTACGTGATGAATAAAAATAAAGGATACGTTATTAATTGAACACTTTATGCAACTCTATCACCGCTGTAATCTTTTGAAGATATACCTCTAATTTTAATAAATCAAAACAGTCAGATAACAAAGTAAAAGTAATAATTTAACAATCTCTAAATTATTCACATTTCTTTTGTATTAATAAAATTAATAAAAAAACGGAGAACGTATAAATTATATTATATTATATTATACTATATTATATTATAAATTATATTACATTATATTAAATAGGAGAAACCTGCAAATCCACCTGTAAATCTAATTTTCAATCCTAGTTTTCAGTAGTCAGTCATCATTCTTGTTTCTTAAGAAAAAGTGTACAAAAATTTACAATATTTTATGCGAGAAATGAAGTTTCGTCCAGGGGTGTAAGAGAATGAAAAAAAGATTATCTACATATACTCTTTGCTCGGCCGATCGAGGAGGATTGTAAAATTATAAGCGTAAACTGGCCAGGATCTTTAACCCAGATCGAGATTTTATCGACGAGGTATTACCGAATGGACGCGCCTTTTCACTTTTTTACTCGTCAACTAATAAATTCCGGGGGAAACATTTATCCGGACTTCGCGGCGAACCATTCGGTCCCCCTTCAAGTAAATTTTCGATCGATCCTATCGCTTCCATTGGATCCTATCCGCTCAGCGAACGACCGATTGGCGGGAATTATTAAATCTTTATTATTTCGACTCGCGTGTTAGTTGCACGGGGGCGGGGATCGGCTGGAACTAGCCGGCAAGGAAATTGAAGATGGAGGGTAAAAAACGACGACGATTGTTGGGTGGAGATGGGAGGAGATGCGTGGAAACGCAAAGCAACGAAATACGGCTGCCTTTGAAAATTATAATGCTACTAGCGCTATCATTTGGAAAATTATAATGTTACTAGCGCTCCGTTATATATAGTGTTATTATTAGCAGAGCAAAGTTTCAGTTTCTTCAATTGCAACGCTGCCGGTTTGTAGGGAATTTATACGTTTCGCCTGTGCGAGTATTCAATTATAATATTTAATTAATTGTTACATAAAATATGTTGTATATTTATCTATGTAATTTCTAAATGTATTCTTAAAAAAAATATTATAATTTATGCAATTATATAAATACATAAGGAGCAACTCTTCTCATCTTGTCATCTACTTGCTCCTTTGAAAGTTACAAATCACTGGTACAAATTAGAAAAAATTACCATTGTTATTGTGCAACGACAATGTAATGATCTACGATTTTCCTGCAGATTTCTTCGAGAAATATGTCCATATAAATTAGCCTTATTTAGCTGAGCTACGGCATCTTCTAATTAATTCTGTTAGATGTTGATCACTTAAAGAAAAGGATTTCAAGATGTGAGAATGGTAATAGGTAAAAACTTCAGTTGTTTGGCTCGCAAAAATAATGGAAATATAATTTCGAGCAAGCGGACCTAATTCAGATGGCCCGGGGGGTTGCACACCTGTCATAAATTGGATGGATGGAGGAAGGAAGAAAGGTGGCGCGTGTAATCTCGCGGATGCAAGACAAGCCTGTTACAAATTTTTGTCGTTAATCTATTATATTATAAAAGACCAATGTTGCGTTAACGCAATATTTCATTTGTGTTTCTCTTTGGATTATTGATTATTGATTATTCAAATGTATAGCGAGCTAAGGTATGTACGTAATATTTCGTATGTTTCTTTTCTTTTGTAACTTGTTCAATTATTTATATTTTTTCAATAACGTTGCGTTTACGTTGCGGCACAGTGCAGATATATTATCCCACTGCTTGGTTCTTAAACTGTCTCACGTGTTTCTTCTTTGTTAACTTCCCAACCAACTTGTTTCTTAGTTCGAAACTTTTAGAATTATGTAAATACGTCTGATATTTGATCTGCATTTTATATCTCTTCTGTCTTTCACATTTTACTGCTTCTACTATTCCCTGTGTATCTCAGAATGTATGTATCTTAAATCTTCCACTTTTCAGATAACTCCTGAATTACATCCGATATTGAATCTTATCAGATAATATCCCATTTTAAACATCCCGGATTAATTCATAGATTTTCTTACGATGTGAACGATGCGTTCTATCTGGTTGTAATCGGTAGTTTTTAAAATCGAGGAATACCAGCCTTCGTACCTCACTCGTACCAGCTGGAATATTATTCCTCAAAACGATAAGTCAAATGCTGTCATCAATTTTATTCCGATACGGCACTGTGGTGGTATTGGTCACGCGCAAGACGAATTTAATCGTTCGTCCGTGATCGCCGCGATCGTAATCGGCCAGTATCAACTGCGCGATCGCGTCGCGGCCATCCTGCCGATATCAAAAACAATTAAAACGAGTTGGCCACAGAAGCTGCCACAAGTCTTTCGCACGGTTACACGGTACGCTCAGCCGGCACACTGGTTGAGAAGTGCCTACCGCTGTATCATTACCGATGCAAGACGTACACCGTTCGCAATTCACCGTGCCGCGAGATTACTTTGGGCTCAAGTTATCCCGCCGGCTGAGAGCCACTGGAATGAGTTTATGTCGCTATCAAAGAGACACGGAGCCCTCGTATGCGAGTCGCATCCTAACTAAAGCTTCAAAGGGCATTAGCATACCGGCCGCTCGGTATGACTGGGCCCGTGCGTGTGTGGGCATCCAGTGAGCACAATTAACTCGTTATCTTATCGCGCCTCGGTGGCGGCAGAGGCGGCGGCATCGTCCAAACGTTAAGGTGTACTTTGCTTAATTTACGCCGCGGAGTCACCGCCGCTACAAAAATTGAACTGCGAGAGTCAACTACGGCCGTTTCCTACCTACCTACCTACCTACCTACCTACC